CGCAGGCTGAGCCCCAGACGCTGGGGATGGCCGTCACAACGGGGTGGCCAGCTCGCTAGGCACCGGGGGCTGATTGAAGCTGGCCACTACCTTGCAGCCCCACGCGGGGTGGACATAACGACCCCGGTGGCCCGGAGACCCCGGGCTTAGACCCGGTACTTAGACCAGAGCCCGGCTGGATCCTGAGTGTGACACTAAGCGACCCTCCCAACCAGAGTGCCAGGTTAGGGGCCCTGCGGGACCCCCACTGGGCACCCCCCTCCGTTCAGGACAGTCAGGACCACCCCTGAGTGTTCCTCAGGCCCCCGGGGAGCCCCGGCACCCGAATCCCACCGTCACCAGCGGGGACTCCCGGACTCCGTTTCTGCATTTGTAATGACGACTAAGGCAGCTCCAGGGGCAGCAGTGCCCAGTGCAAGACGTGGCTCACGCAGCCGGAACCGGGTGTAGATATGCCCCACCTGGGAGAGCTGGTATTAGTGGGTCATTTCTGTGCCACGATTGTCACGGCCATCATCATGGGCGAGGCGCGGTGGGGGCCGGGGGCGGGGGGCGCTTGAAGCAGAGCCCGGGCCCTGGTCACCTAAGTGCACCATGTGTGTGTGCAACACATTCCCAGGCACAGCCAGACCCCTGCTGCTGCCCAGAAGCTTGCTGTGGACTCACCTGGAGGAGGGGGCTCCGTCATCCCCTGGGCTCGCGTGGCAGCCGCTCTTCTGGGTGGCGGGGGCTGCCCGTGCCTCCCTCGTGCTGAGGTCTGCAGGTCAGAGACATAGCGTGGGTTGGCGCACAACCTTGGTCACCCCGATGTCCGGGGGCTGGGAAGGGGGCCAGGCTCCTTGCCCCTGTGGGGCCTCAGCCTGCATTTGCCCCAACAGACTCTACCCCCGTGATGGCTGAAGCCAGATGTGTCTTTCCAGTTCTGCCTGTGCTCCCACCGTCAGCCTAGAGACAGACTGGCCTTGGGTCCCCGAGGGCAGGCTGCTGGGGGAGGGTCCTGCAAACTCCTGGGCGTGGCGAGGGCTCCTTGCAGAGCCAGTGGCTGTGGGGTGTCTGACCATGGCCCACTCTGGGGGGGCTAAAGGAAGGGGGGGACCCCACGTGCCTGAACAGAAGCCCCCAGAACAAGAGGGCCCCGGAAGCCTCTGGCAGGTAGTCTGAGGGCAGTGGGGGCAGCTGCCGCTGGGATATAGAGGGTGACAGAGGGGTCCTGCTGCGGAAGGACTTCAGGTCTCCCGGCCCTCATACCCAAGCCGGGCAGCCCTCGCTCAGACCCAAGCAGTAAAGAGTTAAGAGCCAGGCCTGGGGAGGTCTTCCCTGCCCTGTCCCCTGCCCCCATCCTGTCCCTGACCCTTTGGCCCCTGCAGCCTGGCTGGGTCCTCTGGTCCTCACTCTGCTGGTAACCCGGGCTGAGGCCTCGTCCTCTGCTTCTTCATCTGAGAAATGGGGGTTCGTCAGACACACTGCTGATGGGGCCGTGGGACAACAGAGCGGCCAAAGCCAGAGGGGCCTCCACGTGGGCTGAGGTCTTTGGGTGGGGACTCGGGCCCTCTGGGTGGAGGGGGTAGAGGAAAAACAGGCCCCCCTCAGCCTCTCTCTGCCTGAGGCCCCCCCAGCCCTGCTCCTGAAGCCAGCCCGGCAGGAAGCGGGGGGCTCCTTCTGGTCCCATGTTCACTTTTGCTTTGGGGCTCCTCCCTGTGAGCCCAGTGCCCCCTCTGCCTCCCCTCCCAGACCTGCCTCGGGAGTGCCTGCCC